ATCAGTGCCAGTTTTGTAGTTTTTGCTGTGTGCTATGTAAAATGAATTCTTGTTCTGATATTTTATCAGGTATTAAAATAAGTATATTTAAAATTTTTCACTTGTCCCCTTTCTCTTTGTAAAAATGATTCCCAATTTTCCCTGTTTTAAATGTTAGGACTCCCCCCGCCCCCCGCCCTGCCCCGCTGCTCATACACACACACACACACACACATACACACCGGTTTTTCACAAGTACCAACTAATAAAAGAGCTCTGGTAGCGTAGTGCCTAAGGCACTTGACTGCTAACCAGAAGGCTAGTGGTTCAAACCCACCAGCCACTCCTCGGAAGAAAGGTTGAGCAATCTACTTCCGTAGTGATACTACCTCAGAAACCCTAGGAGGGGTCACTATGAGTCCAGTTCGACTGGATGGTACATAACAACAACAAAAACCAAACTCAGTGATATCGAGGTGGTATCACTGTGCAAATAGATTGCCCAGTCTTCCTTCTGAGGAGTGGCTGGTGGGTTTGAACTGCCAGCCTTTTGGTTAGCAACCAAATGCCTTAGGCACTATGCTACCAGAGAGGTGCAAATTCCAGTCCTGCTCCTGCTGTTGCTACTATTAACAGCAAGTCACCTAGTTCCTAGGTCTTAGTTTCTTCATCTAGTAAAGAAAAATACTTGCATACATTTTTGTAATGGCTCAGATATTAAAGCCAACACTGTACTCAAACAACATGGTTAGATATTCTCAGAGATCCCCTATGAGGAAGCTGAGAAAATCATATGAATTCACAAATGCCCTACATTGTTAACTACCGTGGCATAGACAGGCTTTGGGATGGTTAGAACTGATAATTTGCATTCATTTTAGAAAATACTTTTATTTCTTTTTTTAATTTGCTGTTTCAAATCTTAGAAAATATAAACAAACAGTGATGGAAGAATCAACTATAATCTTCCTAACAAAGGCAGTCACTGTTATTATTTGGACAGATGTCTTTCCGTTTTTTCCTTAATGTGATTTTTTTCCTTATATAAGTGAGATTGTACATTTCGTTATCCTCCAATCCAACACTGAACTAGCTGTCTCTTTGCATTATCTGTCAGGTGGTGGTACCATCATCTACTCAGCAAATCAGGAACCTGGGAGTTGACGCTCTTCACTCCCTCCTCCCTCCAGGTCTGAAATCATGGCAGTTATACTTTCTAAATACCTTTTGGCTTTTCCACCTTTCTCTTCTGTTACGACTGTCCCTGCTTAATGACATCATTGATATTTTTCCCCTGAACTCCTGAAATAATGGAGTCTGTTTCCAGCATTAGTCCCTCAAATTCTGTATGCATATCACTTAGGTGATATATCAAAAAATGTGTATCTGACCATGTAACTCGCCTGCTGAAAGCCCATCAAGCCCTTCAATGACTCATCATTGTCTTTAGGTCAAAATGCAAGCTCCTAAGCATGGCCTAAAGAGCTTTGGTGGTATAGTGGTTAAGGCATTTGGGTGCTAACCAAAAGGTTGGAGGTTCCAACCCAGCAGTTGCTCTGCAGAAGAAAGATGAGGCAGTCTGTTTCTGTAAAGATTTAAAGACTTGGAAACCCAATGGAGGTTGCTACGAGTTGGAATGGACTTGATGGCAGTGAGAAGCGTGGCCTGTATAATCCTCTGTGGCCAGGACCACGCCTCCCTCTGCAGGTTCATCTCTTGATACCTCTGTCCCCTGCTTTATGTTTCAGCGTCACTGAACGTTTCATAACACACCTCCTAACCCACCTCCCATCTACTATGTCTTTGTTCATGGAGACTTCCCTGTTTGAAATTCTTTTTTCTCCCACTCTTTTTACCTCATCAGTGCCTGTTCAACTTTATAGACACAGGTCAGTCTGCTCAAATCTTGACTCTTTAACTGTTAGACTTCTCTGTCCTTCAAATTGGGAATATGTGTGCAAATCTCTATTGTTACTTTGTACTACCAACAAACCATCAATATTTGTGTCAGACAGAATTTAAAGCACAGCAGATGATATGTCAAAGTTCCTACCCTAATGGAGCTTACATTCTGTGTCTATGGGGGAAGATAGATAATAAGTAAGTATAAATATACTATGTTATTAGGTAGTAAGTACTGTGGTGAAAAATAAAGCAGAGCAAAGGGTGTGTGGGACATTCTGGGGTTTCTGTTTAAAGAACATGGTCAAGAAGGTCTGACTGCTAATGTGGCCTTTGAGCAGAGACATGATGGAAGTGAGCCAGCGAGCTGGGCAGACAGATGAGGAAATCTTGAGACAGGCCATGCTCAGTATGTTAGGAACAGCAAGGAAGGCAGTGTGCTCAGAGCAGAGTGGGTGAGTAGGACAAGTGGGATCAAGAGCTAGGGACAGGCCAGATGACTAAGGGCTTTGTAGACCATTATCAGGACTTCAGCTTTTCCTCCAAAATGGAAGCCATTGGAGACTTTTGTGCAAACAAGTGACAAGATCTGGCTCATGTGCTGAAAAGATCATTCTGACTAGAGTTGTTTTAGGGATTAAATGAGATTATCCTTGTAAATCCCAGCTTACTACCAGTTTTGCTCCATGCAGAGCATTAAGCATAGTCCGTTCACATATGTAACCACATGAAATCATCATAAACCAAAAAAATCAAACCCATTGTGTTTGAGTCAATTCCAACCCCAGTGACCCTACAGCAACCCTAATAAGACAAAGTAGAACTGCCTTATAAGGCAGTTCCAAGGCTGTGATCTCTACAAAAGCTTCCACATCTTTCTCCCCTAGAGTGGCTAGTGGGTTTGAACTGCTGACCTTTTAGTTAGCAGCCAGGTGCTTAACCACTGTGCCAGCAGGGTTCCTGATAGTTGTACTGCCCCCAAAACCCACTGCCATTGAGTCAATTATGACTCATAGTGACCCTGTAGACAGAGTAGAACTGCCCCATGGCATTTCCTAGGCTGTAAGTCTTTACAGAAGCAGACTGCCTCATCTTTCTCCCATGGAGTGGCTGATAGGTTTGAACCACCATCCTTTTGGTTAGCAGCAAATGCTTTAACCACTGCACCACCAGAGCTTTATACTTGGCACAATGTAACATCCTATTGAGCAACATTTGTTGAATGAATAAATGATTACCTATTGGTTTGTTTAGCATTTCATCCAAGGTGCTTCCCTGTGTGATTGTGAAATATTAACATGGTGTCTTTTGCACTTCTCCAGGCTGACCCTCCTAAGGTGGACTCTGGAAGAAGAAAAGTCCTAAGGACAGAGCTGATGCAATGGAGCTCCCCAATTACAGCAGGCAGCTGCTGCAGCAGCTCTACACGCTGTGCAAGGAGCAGCAGTTCTGTGACTGTACCATCTCCATTGGTTCCATTTACTTTAGGGCTCACAAACTTGTCCTGGCTGCTGCCAGCCTCCTGTTCAAAACCCTGCTGGACAACACAGACACCATCTCCATCGATGCCTCTATGGTGAGCCCTGAGGAGTTTGCCCTCTTGTTAGAAATGATGTACACTGGCAAGCTCCCTGTGGGCAAGCACAACTTCTCCAAAATCATCTCTTTAGCTGACAGCCTACAGATGTTTGATGTGGCTGTTAGCTGTAAAAATCTTCTGACCAGCCTTGTAAACTGCTCCGTTCAGGGTCAGGTGGTGAGAGATGTCTCGGTGCCATCCCCGGAGTCATTCAGGAAGGAACCTGAGAAGCCTCAAGTAGAAATCCTTTCCTCAGAGAGTGCTGGAGAGCCCTGTGTTCCCCCTGAGGGTTCTGTCCCTCCAGAGGAACCTGTGAAAGCTGAGACCAAGGAAGCAGCCCAAATGGTCACCCAAGAGCTGAGTGTGGATTCTCCCACTGCCCAGGAGATTCTGGGGAATGTGGAAATGCCTGCAGAGCCTCCTAATGCAGTGGAAGCTTGCTCCTCTTCCCCTGTTGTACAAACCACTAGTGAAGCCACGGAGGCAAGCACAGAACCAGGTAATATTTACCCCATAGTTGTTTTGTAATATATTTTTCCATTGTCAATTAGTAGATTCAGTGATGTTTATGATTTTTTTTGGTTTCATAGATAAATTTACCAAAGAACACTATTAGGTAGGACACCAGAATCCAACAGAGTACTCTTACTAGGCCAGTTCTTTTAAAAATGTCTGTGTTTTTGAGTGTTGGAAGTCTGAAGAAGATCTACAGGGCAGAAGAGCAGTACTGAGATAATGATGTCCCATTTTTGGTAATTATCCACTATTTTAACCAGGCTGAGTATGAGAGGATGTTGTGAGACACATTGTCAGCTATTATGTGCTAGTTATCAGTTCAGTGCAGTATATGACCTAAGGTTTCCACAGAAAGCTTAAACTTTTATTTAATCACTTCAAGTAATGAATGGCTAACTTTTTTTTTTTTCCTTTTTGACATTCAGAGTGTGAGAAGAAACACTACCAGCTGAATTTTCTTCTGGAAAATGAAAGTATTTTCTCACAGGCACTGTCTGTTACCCAGGATGTTTTGGAAAGACTAAAGGAATGTTCAGAAATTAAAAGCCCACAGAAGGAGGTAGGTACTTGTTTGTATTTTATTTGTTTGCTAGTTGAGTATTCTCAGGATAACATATCAACTTCTCCAATGGTACAGAAATCTGAAATTTCAAAATACCTTAAGGTTTCAGTTTTTTCAAGCTTTAATTTTATTCCTTTTGGTATTTATTTCCTAAAGTCCAGTCTAGCAAAAGTACTTGGGCAAGTTACTTTCTTTTCTTTTCGTTTTTAAATTTTTATTGTGATTTGGGTGGAAGTTTACAGAGCAAATTCATTTTTCATACAGCAGCTCGTACACATTTTGTTTTATGACATTGACTGTGCAAGAAAAAAAAAGTAACTTGCTATTCAGTGTTACTTGCTAAAAGTAACTTGCTATTCAGTGTCTAGTATTTATTTTAACTGTGGGTAATCCACAGTTGGCGGTAAATTGTTTTGTTACTTCCAAAATGAAGTTCTGTTCTGATCACCTTGTAAATACCAGCTTACTACCAGTTTTGATGCAGAATACTTAATGGTACATACCATTCCTTCCTGGTTAATCAAGGATAAGATGAGGCAGAAGTTAGTGATGAATAATTTCAAATCAAGAGATTTAAAGAACAAAAACAAAAACAAAACAATGAATACTCAAAAAGGGTTTAATAGAAAAGTATTTAGTAAATTGCTTCTAGTGTTGAGGAATACAGTGACCATTTTCAGATATTAGCCAATAATAGTGAATGTTTATTAAACACTTTCCTAAACATGGTATATGTGTTATATCATTTAATCCTCAGAAAAATACTCAAGGTAGGTACTATTTTTTAGTCCCATTTTATAGATGAAAAACCTGTTTCAAAGAGATAATGTAACTTGGCCAAAGTCACAGAGCTCATGAGACTCTAAGCCAGAATTCAAAGCTATGCATTCTGACTATAGAGCTGTTCTCTAACACCCTGAGTTATACTGCCTACGAGAGGGTGAAAATGATTAACATCTTTATATAAAAGTTTTGGATTTGCTTGACAGGAAATTACCAGGTAGGTGTCCTTGTCTATTCATAGTTGACCTTTTCTTTTTTTCTAATACCTCATTGAGGCATATCCCTACCTGTGTGCTCCCTCACTACCTGACCCTGCAGGGTCAGCTCCACAGCCACTTTAGAACTCCCCTGGCCTTCTGCTTTCTTCCGGCCATGCTTCCCCTTTCTGAGAGGCTGCACCGGCAGAGGGAGAGGCGCTGCCCCAGCTGGCTGGCTCATTTGATTGATGGGGTCGGGGGGGGGGGGGGAGGGGTCTTCCCATGTCGCTGAGGCAATTTAGTGTCTGTTAGTTACTATTCATCCAAGCAGTAGATGCCTAATATTTAATCATTTCCCTGATTCATAGCAAGTTACTTTTTTAGAAGCAAATTCAGTGTCTAGTATTTATTTTAACTGTGGCTAATCCACAGTTGGCTGTAAATTGTTTTCTTGGGAGATAAGCTATTTACAAAGCTGGGCTAAACCAGATGACTCTATTAGGGAGGTATCGGATTGTAAATCCTTGGCACTTTTGTACTGATTGTGCTTGAAGGACATAATGGTTTTATATTTCTGCACTTGGGTGTTTTCTAACTGTTCAATCTATTATTATTGTTAATAGTTTGTTACCTTGATACCTTAGAGACACATACCTCTTTGTTTTTTCTCTTAAGACTTGTCCAAATACCTTTGGTTACAGAGGAGCAACATCATTCCTTAGATCAATAATACTCCAGTTATTGAGTGCGCCCTTGGTACTTGCTTGAATTGTGCTTTATGCATTTTTTAAAAAACAAAAAAAACACTAGTGCCTAAAAGTGTCTGACAGGTAACAGGGACTCAATAAATGTCTGTTACCCCTTGAGAATGAGAATGAGAACCAGACAAGGATGCCCTTTATCACTACTCTTGTTCAATACTGTATTGGAAGTCTTAGCCAGAGTAATAATGCAAGAAAGGATAATCAAAGGCATCCACATTGGTAAGAGAGAAGTAAAACTATCCCTATTTGCAGATGATACAATCCTATCTCAGAGATTCAACAAGAAAGCTACTGGAAATAACAGAAGTGGCAGGTATAAGATCAACATATAAAAATCAGTCAAATTTCTGTACACTAAAAAAGAAGACTCGAAAAGGAAATCAGGAAAACAATACATGTACAGTAGCCACAAAGAAAGATGCAATACTTAGGAATAAATCTAACCAAGGATATAAAAGACTTCTACAAAGAAAATTATAAACTTACTGCAAGAAACCAAACAAGACCTACATACATTGAAGATAAAACCATGCTCATCGATAGGAAGACTTAACATTGTGAAAACGTCAGTAGTATCCAAAGCTATATAGATATAATGCAACCAAATCAAACTCACTGCCATCGAGTCGGATCTGACTCATAGTGACCCCTCCTTGGGTTTCTGAGGTGATATCACTAC